ATACCACTGGTTTCTTTGTAGAAATTGACAAGCTGATCTTAACTTCATATGGGAATTCACAGGACTCAGAATAACCAAAATATCTTGAAAAAGAAGACCAATTTGGAGGACTCAGAATTCCCAATTTCAAAACTTATTACAAACCAAAAGTAATCAAGACAGTGTGATATGAACATGAGGATAGACATATAGATGAATAAAATTGACAGTCCAGAAATAAACCCATATATCTATGATCAGCTGATTTCTGACAAAGAAGCTAAGGCCGTTCAATGGGGAAAGAATAAAATGAAGAAGTAAAGCAGAAATGAATACTCAGGAGTTCCATTTTGTACATGTGGAATGTGACACGCTGGTGAAACCCAAGAACAGAAATGTCCAGAAGAGAGTTCTCTATTCAGGTCTCGAGCTCAGAGAATTCAGGCTGGTAATACAAATGTGCATTTCATCAAACAATCCGGCCATCGATATTTTTCAGCATTGTTACATAGTCTTGTTTCAAAATCCTCATAGGCAGGGTTCCTAACCCACATCTTGGAGGGTATGGGGCAGCTTCTCACTCTTCTCCCTTCCCATCCCTGACCACTCTCCTTCTCCAGGGAAATCACAAAGGTCCCATCCTCCCTGAAAGCCTTGTCTTTCCCAACTAGAAGTGGATTATGAATTTCAAAGGGGATTCTGGGTTTCCATTTCACTAGAAAGGTCTCCTTGAAGAAACTTCTTGAAAACATCTATTTTAGATCAATAAATTCCCCTTTTTGCCTTCCTTTCTCACATTCTCCGTAAGCAACCTTTTGCAGACACAACTCCCCATTTGGTACTTCAAAGGAGGCAGGATGGGGTCAGTTTTCCCACGGCTGTATGACAGAAATCATCGTAATTGACACACCAGAAATTCCTAACAAATCTAAATTCAGAGCATAAGATTAAACAACATGCAGGCACTTTACCAAAATAGTCCCAAAGCCCTTAGATGACCAAGACAGAGAGTAAGGTAATATATCTGAGAAAAGCACCTCACATCTATGGTGCTAGGGACATTGTCAGTAAAGATTAGCGGCCAGGAATGATTTCTGTACTGTCTACGCCCATTAATCAATAGGCAGTGATCAAACAGCAGCCCAAACAGGAAAGAAACCTAGTTACAGGTTGATCATTTTTACTTGGTATTTAGGTTTCACAAACAAGACCTCAGTCATGAGAAAATGCATGCAATGATTTCCACAGGTCCCTAGTACACAGTAGATGCACAATAAAAAGGCAGTTCTTTCCTTAACATTCTAATCCAGCTAGTATTTATTGATGGCTTATTATGTGTTAGGAATCCTGCTGAGTATTTCCTCATATTCTCTCGTTCTCCCATCTGCCTTCTCAACAATCTTGAGAAGTAGGCATCCCTATCTCCACGAAACAGTTAAAAACATGGCATCTCCGAGAGCTGGGTCATTAGCTCCAGGTCACCCAGCTAACGAGCGGTCCACCTGAGTCTGCGTTTCACACCCTCTGAGTCCAGACCCGGAGGCCCTCACCATCGACCACACACAGTCTTCTTCGTTCTTTTCACCACGTATCTACCGTCAATCAAACACCCACACTGGTGATTCTCACCCTGTCTTTTAACTTCCTTTTCTATAATCCTCTGCCAAATCTGCAACAGAACAGTAGACCTTCTCAATCCTAGGCCCTTCTTGCCTGCGTTCTCTGGACTACCTCCACGTTGTCCAGCCCTCCTTTCTCCACCTCTTCTCAACCTTGCCTCTACTGCAGAATGTTATCCGGAGGAGGAGGTGTGTTGGAAGATCAGGTAAAGATTAAACTCCTTGATGACTTAGGAGCTCGGATCAAATCACGAAGTTTACTCACGCTCATCCTGGCCAGTCAGTTAATGGTTCTTGGGGCCCTGAGCATGTCTAAGTACCAGGCATGTGCATGCGTGTGTGCAAATTGTCTCTCATCCTCATGACCACTGTTTTCCAGATTAGGAAACCGGAGCTCAGAGCACTTTCCTCTATCACAGAGCCCAGAGATAACAGAGTCATCTCAAACCCGGAGCCATCCGATTATATGCTCTTTGCTCTATAACAGAAATCCTCAAATATCTGTCCACAAACCAAGGGCTAGATTATCACAAAGTTTCCACCAATCCACAGCAAAATAAGAACAGAACAATATTATAAATGTAGGGGGTGTAGTCTGGGTCAGTATAAAGACACATTATTGGCAAGAACCATCTTTTATGCTGAGATTATGTCCTTTCTGCCTTTTTGGTGTTAAAGTTTCTTTTCTTTGTGAAATGATAATGAAAATAGGTGGTAATTTTTTTTTTTGATGGCCTGATGGTAATGTCCTTAGTTGGTACCATGAAAAGTAGGTAACTCTATGGTAGCTTTGTAGGTCCCATCTACATAACATCTACCAACAAGGTCCAAATGAAATATTTATATGTTATCAGCTAATCCCGAAATGGTGATTTGTGTTTCAGACCGATACTTTGAAATAGATTGTGTTAAGAGTAATATTCTTTAGAAAGCAGTTATAGGATAAGCAAAGGGCAGAGAGGAGGCTAGCCCACAGGGAATGGGTCTGTTAAATACATAAGCGGTAGAAGGAGCAGAGAAAAGAAACAGTGATTTCACAATTTCCCCAAGCATTTTGCCTGGGTTTTTATAAATGTGATTGAGAATTAAAATTCCCAGCTAGATGTTGCTTCTCTAAAATTTCTCCTGAAAAAAATGTTTTTAAGATCTTATTTATTTTATTTTAGAGAAAGAGCGTGAGTGGGGGGAGGAGCAGAGGGAGAGAATCTCCAGCAGATGCCATGCTGAGCGCGGAGCCCCATGCAGGGCTTGATCTCAAGACCCTGAGATCATGACCTGAGCCAAAATCTAAAGTCAGGGGCTTGACAGACTGAGCCACTTGACAGACTGGAACATTTTTTACATATAATATTATTACCTCCATTATCCTCTGAACAGGTATATATAAGATTTTAGGCGTCACCACCACCTAACCTAAGCAGACAGATAAAAGAGAAAGATCTTTCTTCCATATCTTTCTATTGGATTAATAACCACTATTCTCTCTTTAAAACATACTCCTGTATTTAAACTGTTTCTCTCTTCTCAAGAAAAAAGCTATTTGCTCTGTCCTTTGATCCTTTCCAGTCCTCCCCATCCAATGTAAATAGAATACAGCAGACCCCCACTTGGAATAGTCTCCCTACAGGGAGTCTTTAATCAGTCACTTGCTGGGAACTGAGAACACATTTTGCCATAAAACAATATAAATGGTGATGACGTTCTCAACATCCCTCCCAAATGTTTGCTTACCGTGCACAAAGGTTGGGCACAGCCCTAGTTTAAAAGCTCAGCCTCGAGTCCTCTGTTCAGAGCAGACAGAGGTGAATGGACACCTGAAAGCCGGGCCACCGCTCTCCCTGAGCACGGGGTCTCGCGCTCCAGCCCCTCCCTCCGCGCTGTCCCCCGCACCTGCAGGCCCGTCCTCACTCTGCCCTCTCCCCTGCATCCCCCTCCCCAAACACTGAACCTTTAGAATTATCGTCCTCACTCTCTCCTGCCAAAGCTTCCGTTTCCTCCGCACAACTGTCTCAGGGAAGCGAGCCAAGGAAGCAGCCTAGCCAACGAAGGTTAATGTGTGAACAATTTTTAATAAGGGACTCCAGATTTCAGACGGTGGAAGGAGGCGGACGTAAGAGATGCAGGCCATGGGGGGTGGGGCACTGTGCCCGGGCTGTTCCTTTGTTTTCCTTCCGTTCTCCCCTGACTCCACTCCTGAGACGCTGCAGTCTCTCGGATGACACAGGGGCCCGTCCCGCACGCGGTATCGGCGTTTCTGATGAGGGGAACACAGGGAATGTTTTCCATCTCTATCTGTGCTACAGTGACTCGCAGAGCTCGGTTTTCCCCTTGGCCCACTGGAAGGTTCTAATGACCCGCCCGAAAAGGGCATCTGGAACAGTCAGCCTCCACTCCTGTCCTCCACACTCCCCCAAGCAGCTCAGCCCGCTAGTCACACTGGCCCGAATCCTTCTTTGCCAACGTGCAGTCCTGCTCAGGCTCAAGAGGGATCTGTCCCCGGCCATGGGAGAGGAGGTGGGCGTCTGCGGCTGCGGGAAATGGCTCGGGGCTCCAGGCACCAGCAGAAACCGTCTGACCTCTTGGTGGGAAAAGAGTGGGGTGTCCACCCTGGGAATGCCCCCGCTGGGGCTCCGTGCCGATGAAGAAGGAACTTTCTCACTCTTGAGACTGCCTAACTGCCTACGTCCTGAGCCCATACCCGTCATGCTGATTCACACGAGTCACAGTCTTCTGTACAAGGGGCAGCATGGGTCACAAAGACGTGCATTAAACATTCTTCTGAGTTGTCGTTGCATGGTAGCTGCTGATCCAGAAAGAGAAACCTAATCTACTATTTGGTCAGGTGTATAATGTTCCCAGGAAACAAAAGCAATTTAATTCCATTCGCCTGATTGAAAAGGCAGAGGCTCACTTATCCGAGATTTTCTTGCTACTTATCTTTACCTACTGACTGTTTGCATGTGTGTTTATTCATTCGTTGTGCGTTGTTTGCCCAGTCCCTCTACCGATACAGAGCAACGGAGCCCATGGATAAAAGCCCACGAAGGGCTCTCAGCTGATTCTTGGATAAGAATCCAAGCCCAGAAATACTTACATGGAGTGGGGTGGGGGAGCATTGCAACAGAGAATAAAGCAGCAAAAATACATGTAGAGTTCCTTTTGAAAGGCAACATATCTTTTTTTAATGATAGGAACATTTTGCTATAATATATAAATAATTCTAAGACTAATTCTAAGAATATGTCTATTTACAGACTATTTAGAGCAAATGAGCAGTCCTAGAATCTAAGGAACTTGGGAGAGGAGTGATACAGTGTGCGTGTGCGTGTGGGTGCGCGCACACGTGTGTGCGGTTGTGTGCGTGCACACGTGGGGGGGTGCACGTGTGTGTGGCAGGCGAGGCACAGAGAGACACATGGACACACATCTAAAGTAAGTCATACGTCAGCCTGGCTAATGATGCACTGTGTCACCTACAATCAATAAAAACCTCTTGTTAACATTATTTATGGAATAATACTTCTTCCAGCTATGATGAAAGAAAAAGGAAAATGGAAAAAGACTACCCAAAGAACACAGAAGAGGAATTCTCAGGAGTTAATGGCCAAATAGATGCCGCCGTGGAACTAAATGGTGAGCATCTCCACCAAAATCTTTCTTTGCGGAAGAACTGTAACAGGAAATCTGGGCTCTGTTTTAACCTATGACAAAACAGGTTTCCAGATGGGAGTCCTTGGTTCCGAGTCCCTTACAAATTTAGGTAACCAGATTAACTATTAGAAAGAGTACAAAATGTCTACCATCGAGACTCTCTCTCTGCCAATAGCAAGTTTTAGAAGTATAGCTTCAGTCCGTAAGTTGGTTACGTCTTTTTTTTTTTTTTAGATTTTTTATTTATTTATTTGACAGAGAGAGACACAGCGAGAGAGGGAACACAAGCAGGGGGAGTGGGAGAGGGAGAAGCAGGCTTCCCGCAGAGCAGGGAGCCCGACGCGGGGCTCGATCCCAGCACTCGCGATCGTGACCCACGTCGAAGGCAGACGCTTCACCGACTGAGCCCCCCAGGCGCCCCAAGTTGGTTACGTCTTAAAGCCCACCCAGTCAAAACGGCCTCTTTCCTCTTGAAAATGCACATACTGTCAACCTTCCCAGAGCCTTTCCCCACCCCCTCACCCAACTCCTGAAATTTAACACAGAGCAGGGAAAGCTGAACTGAACAGGGTTGAGTAAATGTGACTGAATCTCGTGGACCAGCCGACACCTTCTTCCTGAGTCTAGAGCACAGAGCTGGCCTCTGTTCAGAAATTCAAAGAGAGTTCCAGACACGTTCCCTGCTCCCGTGGGATGGCTAATAGCTCTGGGAAATGCCCCTCCGTCCAGCAGAGATCACAGTACCAGAACCAAGACAGTCTATGACCAGTACTGAGTGGAGTGCAGACCTCACAGTGACTGCAAGAAGTGAGCTGAGAAAGGAAAGAGGAGAACCGGCCTCCACAGTGGGAGTTTGCACGGTGGGACTTCAGCTGAGCTTTAGGGACGAGTTAGAGGTTTGGGCAGGGACAGAAGAGGGGGGATTCCCTGGAGGGGAGCAGCGGCTCCAACACAGCTGAGCCCCACCTGCTGGGTAAGCACCCCTGGGAGAAAGTGAGGAGCGGGGACAGAGAAGAGGGAGGTGCTGGGCCCTCGGGCTCTGTGAGAGCCGGGCGCAGACCCGCAGACTGGCAGCTACCACCTGGCGGTCCCCAGCCCCACTCTGGGGCCACCTACAAACCCTCCCTTTATGGATCTGCAAGTCATTTCCAGTAACGACATTTTCAACTTTGTCTCTTTTAGGCTACATTTACTTCTTTTCAGGACCAAAAGCGTACAAGTATGATACAGAGAAGGAGGATGTGGTCAGTGTGCTGAAATCTAGCTCCTGGATTGGCTGCTAATCAGAAAGGTCTAGTGTTTTCTGGGGAGTGTTCATGACCACCAGCAGCTGGTCCCTGGACCGCAAGGACTAAAGCAGGATGTAGGATAGGGATTCTTCCCACGGCCTTCAATCCTAAGGGCAACTTAGAGTTCATCGAAAAGAATTAAGCTTCTAAATGTTGTCATGGTTGCAGATTCATAAATCTAATCTAAATGGGCAATTTCCGTATGGTCAGCTTCACATAAAATCAGAATTGACACAATGCTCTCTTCCATGAGACACCCACTGCCTTTTTTTTCTTACCTAATATATGGAGGCAAATTGATAAATTTGGTTTTTGTTACCAAGAAGACACCTATTTGTGGATTCCCTACATGCATTATAACTCTAATAGGCAACATCATTGCCGTACAAACTGTAATTACTCTTTATAAGCAGTGGCTTTTGTGGCCTCTGCATTCATTGTGATGAATACAAATCTGTCTGTCTTTACCTTGGACACATCACAAACAAAATACCGTGTAAATCTTGTTTCTCGTTGTTTGTTGATTAGCTCCATGTACTCACTGGTCTTTGAAGTAGGTCATAGCAGGCAAACCTATTCAAATGAATTTTCACGCTAGGCAAGAGATGGACACTTGGCAAGAGGAAAACTTTTAACAAAAGCCAATAAAAATGTCTAAGAACAGTTCCTCATTTCTCTTAATATTTACTAGCTTCAATCACACTTTATTTGGCAACAAACTGTACCTCACGGAAACCCAAAACCCGAGAGAGTATCGTGAGCACGCACACCCAGGAGAAGTAACAGTAACTCACTGCATTTCCTGCTTCCTGACAATAAAACACCCATGGAGAACCGTCTTTAACCCTTCCGAGGGAGTCTCTCCGGAGTGGTTTTCCATTTAGGGGAGTCTCTCTGTTTAGTTTTTCCTACTTCAAGCTAAGCCTTTTCTCTTTCTTACCTACTCATCAGTACAGGAAAACACAGCTGTTTGTCATTGTTATGACTTTTGTTAACATTACCCTCTAAAATGTAAGGATTCTAAAGATTAAGTGAGTCTAAAATTAGGTGATAAATACATTTAGCGTACTTCATGGGCCGCCTGGAATACCCACAGCACTCCACACATTAGCTGTTGCTGTCACCATCACTGATTAAACTGGGGTCACCGGATGAAGGAGGGGTCGGGCCGTTCCTGGCCGTGACTCCCAGCCTCCCACTTGGTTTCTGTTACTGAAAGTGGCTATTTATACAAGCAGATGTTGACTCTGACGGTTGAAGACAAACTCTGGCACGCTTGCTTTCCCATGTCAACTGCCTTGATTGAGGAAGCAAAGCCACTTTTGCAAAAACAGCCAGCGGAGGAGACGTGCGTGATGGCAATGAGCACGGAGTAAAAGCAGCCTGGAGCTCCGAAACGCTAAAACAGAGTTAGCAATAAATGAGCGGTTCCACTCCTGGACGCACAGCTGTGAGACCCGAAGACACGTGCACAAACGTGGATGAAGCTTGCAAACAGTACGCTAAGAAACCAGACGCAAAAGGCCACCGACTCTAGGCTTCTGTTTCTATGAAATGTTTGGAATAAGAAAATCAGAGACGGAAAGCTCGGAAAGCTGATGGGTGCTTGCCAGGAGTTGGGGGAGGGGCGACGGACAGTGACCGCTAAGGGGCCGGGGGTTTCTTCGTGGGGTGATGAAAATGTTCTAGAAGTGATGATGGTGATGTTTGCACCACTCCGTTAATATACGAAAAGCCATCGAATTGTACATTTTAAGTGGATAAACTGGATGGTTTGTGAACTGCATCTCAATAAACCTGTTGTCTTAATAATAATAATAATAAGCAAGGAGCTCCAGGTTATGTGATGATCTCTGCATGGTGTGCCCTGGCTAACTGGGGTAGGGACCACGCGGCAGTGAAGCATTAGCCCGAAGACATCTGGGGCTGAGCTCCACCGACCAGACTTACCCTGGTGCCCGGGGCTCACCCGGGGGCATGCACAGTGTAGACACTTCACTAAATAAACGAACGTTACTGAAAGCAAAACAGCATGTGCTCTGAGGTCTGACTGGCTTCAAACCCAGATCTGTTCTTTTTAGCTGTGTGGTGTCGGTCAGTTCCTTAATCTCTGTCTCAGTTTCTTCCTTTGTAAAATTAGAATGGAATAGTCCTTACGCCCTAGAGATATTGAGAGGCTTATATATATATATAAGCCGAAATATACAAAGCCCTTAGATAGTCCCTGGTGCTCTTCAGGGGCTCTATAATTGCTGTTTTGAAGGAATTCGAAATAATTTTGTTTTGAGATATTTCGGGGAATTTGTATATATCCCTCGAGATAGCTGAAGACACACGAGCTATATGGCACCACGAAGATTGATGCCCAGTGACCTGAAATTTTTCCCTTCCAAACTCCAAATGAAATCAATAATTAAATAATATCCTGACTGTTGTTAACTCCCATCCCCCAAGACTAATTCTTATAAATTATTATTCCTTTGTTGAGTCAGAGAACTTCTGGCTCCCAGACACAGTGGTCTGTATTCTGGAAAGACAGTCTCTCTAGCCCACAAGAAACAGTGACTGTGTTTGTGTCAAAACTCACTTGGGGGCGCCTGGGTGGCTCAGTTGGTTAGGCGACTGCCTTCAGCTCAGGTCATGATCCTGGAGTCCCGGGATCGAGTCCCGCATCGGGCTCCCTGCTCGGCGGGGAGTCTGTTTCTCCCTCTGACCCTTCCCCCTCTCATGTGCTCTCTCTCTCTCATTCTCTCTCTCTCAAATAAATAAAAAAATAAAAAATAAATTAAAAAAATAAAAAAAAAACTCACTTGGAATATATACGTGCTCGCCTGAAACAATTTTGTGTCAAAATACTTTATGACATATATTCCTCACTTGGCTTCAGAGTAACTGAGGGCAAACATGTTTTGTTAAGTAACAGTTTCAAACACAGTGTTGTTCAGTGGCTCCTCTTGAGATCAAGAGTAAGCAGAATGGAGTTTTCTTTCTGATGACATCTGTCATTGTCCTATTAACCTCAGGGGTAACTATTTATGGGCGGCCGGAAAGCTCTTAGCACCAGAGGGCTACTAAGGACGAGTGGATTCGCCCAGGTGGGGAGCTTCCCTAAGAGCTCTGTCCTAAGTTTTCTGTGGCTAGAACCAAGCTCACTTCCAGTCAGCCTGGTGTGAAACGGCAGACCCAGCGGGTCCGTCCGGTCCTCTCTTCTTTTCCCCATGGTCATTTGGAAACGCCTTAGGCCTCCCTCTCACGGGGCAGATGGCAAACGAACCATGCAGGTTTTTATCTGGAATTCTGTTTGATATATTTTTAAATTATCACAGCACCTTCAAGTGCTTTTGTTTCTATATTATCCAGGTGTCTTCTTATTCTTGGTTTTAGCCATTTCCTTCTATAGACAATGATACGGGAGGTTTTTTGTGAATATTCATAGCTAAAATTACCCAACAGAGAGCCATTTGAGAAAAAATGCATAACGCCGGTCAACAGGTTGGAGTTTTAGACTCCCATACGGAGCATAGGAGAGTCCAAGCCAAAGATTTTCTGTACCTCACCCCATAGACCCGAGTAAAAGGAAGAGAACGATCCTCCAATCATTTCCATCTGCTGAGCCTGTCCTTGGTGCCATTCCCAACCCCAAGTGGATTGTGGGCATGACCAGACGAAAGCACATCTTGTTGTACCCATAACGTCCCTGCCTTGCTCCCACCACCTACACTCTTGTCATTGAAATAAGAACAGAACCGGGAAGACTGCTGGTGAATAAGTTATAGCAGGAAATTGGTGAATGACTCTGGGTTCCGAACGAGCCTTCTTACAATGCACACGTCCTTCATCTCTCCGCCATGAATCCCTTCCTTTAATTCAGGGCATCATTTCAAATGGTTGGGGATGAAATTAAACTTCTGTTGTGCAATGCAGCATGTTGTCCTGACAAGAGAGGGAGAGGAGAGATGAGGAGAGAGAAGGACAGAGCGACTCAATGAGAAAACATTTGCAGAGACCAGTTGAGAAATGGAACATATAAATCCATTTTAGATCATCAGCAGTGGGAAGAGGGAAAAAAAGCATGTCTGTGTAAGTAGCCAGCAATTTGTTTATCCTTGAAAATCCCAGGCCTGGGGCGCCTGGGTGGCTCAGGTGGTTAAGCGACTGCCTTCGGCTCAGGTCATGATCCTGGAGTCCCGGGATCGAGTCCCGCATCGGGCTCCCTGCTCGGCGGGGGGTCTGCTTCTCCCTCTGACCCTCCTCCCTCTCGTGCTCTCTGTCTCTCATTCTCTCTCTCAAATAAAAAAAAAAAATCTTTAAAAAAAAAAAAAAAAGAAAGAAAATCCCAGGCCTGTAAAGCAACGATGAGCAATGTGAGCTTCTGGGGCTGGGCAGTAGATGTGTTTACAGCTCCCTCTCCCAAGGCCGGGAGGCCAGGAGTCCAACGCGAGCCCATCACGAAAACCGCTGACCTGTGGCGGATACGTTTCCACACTGTAGATGGTGACTCTGTGCCAAGTGCCAATTTCTGGACGTCGGGGATGTTACCGGCAGCTGCTTTTGAAAGATTTCGTCTCTTCCCTAGAAGAGCTTTATCTCCATAAACAATCCCGTTGGCCTTCCTGAAGGACCTAGCCACCCAGTGTCTCCACCCTCTGCGTTCACTCTTAGTCCATTCAGAACTTTTGCGAAGCGTTTACTTTATGCTGACACCTACCTGGGCTCAGCTGTGTTCCGGCGGGAGCTTTTGCCCCCAAGGAACACACACATTCTGATGGGAGAGACAGTCACTATTCCAGTGAATAGATAGTTGTAGATGTACTGAAAGATATGGAGCGTGCTTTGAGAAAAACAAAGCAGGGAAGAGGGTAAAGCGTGTTGGAGTGCCATTTTACTAACGTGTGTTTGGGGAGACGACTTACTGAGTTGGGGATATTCATTCAGAGATGTGAGGAAAGGCAAGGAGGAGCCATGGAGGCCCCTAGTTTGAGGCCAAGGAAGCAGTAAGTGCGAGGAAGGGGCTGGGCAAATTTGAGGCCCAGCAGGAAGGAAGGTCCATCTGGCGGGAGGCTGTGGGGGGAGGACACTCAGACGGAGGGAGGTGGGGAGGGCAGACAGCCGGACGGCGCAGAGCCTCGCTGGCCACCAAAGGAGATCAGTTCTGCACTAAGTAGACAAGCGGGGTTCTGAGCAGGTGCATAACATGATCTCACTTACGTTTCGGAGAATCCCCTGGCTGCTGGGTGGCAAACATCTTGTAAGAGCGAGGGGGCGCGGGGACGCCAGACAGTGGTTTTCTTCCAGGGCAGAGACAGGGGCGGCGCTGACCAAGGAAACAGCCGCACAGACAATGGTCAGACAGAGGATAATTTCTAGGTAAAACCAGCAGGACTTGCTCCTAACGTGTTTTATGGAATTAAGAAAAAGCACAGAGTAAAGAATGACTCTAAGGTTTCGGGGCTTAGTGAGTGGGAGAGCGGTGTGCAATCTGGAATCAGCTGGGTGTGAGTTGCCCATTCGACGGGCCAGGGGGGAGGCCGGACGAGGTGGACAGATGGGGACCCGTGAGTTCCAGGAGGAGGTGGGGCTGCAGACAGACCCTGCGAGTCACCGCCTTCCTGCTGCCGTCCACTACCCCAGGAACCCCCACCCCACACACTAGCATGGAACTC